CCTCCCTCTAAAAGTTCGCATAGAAGTACGAATGAGCCTCCCTCTAAAAGTTGCACGAAAGTACGACTACCCCACTTCTTCCAACGTCTTGTTGCCCTCCCGGATTCCCCGAGTGAGCGATCCAAAAATTGAGGTTTTGACGCAACCACAAGTGGAAGGTCAGAAGCCCGTAGTACCTTGAGATACTGGGTTAAAACCGAAGCATATTGGCCGCTGTCATGATGCCATGTCAGCGTACGACGTATCAAAACCGGGTCTGTCAGGCGCCTTCTCTCGCGGTGGAATGAGCAGAGAAAACGCCACGTATGCGACGGCGCCCGACAGATGGCTGCCCTGATGTGCTATCACTTGATCGGTACATTTGCTCCCGGAACATTGCAGTGCCTATTCTAGTACTTTCCATGAGAACACACCTCATGGAGATTATTCCATAACTTCCCCAATAACTTCTCCAATTTTTCAACAATTCATCGGAATCTTTAAAAATTCTACGAAATATTCTTACAGTCTCTACTTGGCAGTAGTACCACCAAAAATAAATCGATATTCTGTTAGTTTAGCTAGGTAATACATGTACAAAATGTTGAAAAAATTGAGTAACCAGTAGAGGATGATGGGTCGAAGTGGCCATATGCAATGAGACCTACACCTTTGGATGTGTTTTTGGACGCTGATCTCGAATCTGCTTTCCAAATCTGCCAAACGATTTTCTGAACGGAGTTATGAAGCAAAATAGAGCAGCGGTAGTAGTCCGGGACTCACGTGCGAGACGTCGTAGGATCGGTTCCACGGGTTTTCTCTTTGCCTCTACAGCGACATGGTCCCGCAGCAGCCCTACACTAATAACTCCCCGTTCTTCTTGTACCGGTTACTGTGGGCAAGCGTTGATCAAAAAACCTAGCTCTGCTTCTTTTTCAACCATTTGCTGCAGAGGCAAAAGGGAGAACCCGGCAGGGAATCGATCCCACGACCTCTCGCACGTGAGCCCGGACTACTACCGCTGCACTGTTTTGCTTCATAACTCCATTCAGAAAATCGTTGGCAGATTTGGAAAGCAGATTCGAGATCAGCGTCCAAAACACATCCAACAGTCTTATTACGAATGGCCGCTCCGACCTTGTGAGTCTACCCTGGTAATCAGCGTGAGCCCGACTCTTCTAGGCTAGGCAGGTTGGCCACACACTCAAGGAGATCGATATGGCCATTCATCAATACGAGATGTACTCAACCCCTGTATGCGTGCTGAAACGCTTACTTCAAATATGCCTCTCCAAATCTGCTTGCCTGATTCCCCAAGCGGAGTTATGAAATCTTCCGCTTTTTGTCTCGCATACTATGACGCAGTCAAATGGCAGGCTACTTGAAGAGTAGCTCATCTTGAATGGCCATGGTGGCCTCAGGGCTTTACCTTGTCTGTTGCAGACAGTTCACAATCAATTTTTCGATATTCAAAAAAGGTCTCCAATCCCAAGCCATTAGCCGTGCGGCAACTAACTGCCTTGGGATTATCATTCCGTTTACTACGTTTATCACCAACAAGAACGATATAGTGAGATGATTTGGTTACGCTGAAACTCACGCTGCAATAAAGCGCGAGCAGTGGAGCGGCAATTCAACCGAGCTACGAATACAGAGGTAGTGTGCGCCGCACCGCAACGTGGTTACGGTAGAACCAACTCAACGTGCAGAAGAACCGTTTCACTTATCAACTGTGCCTTCGTAACTGGTTACGAAAATTGGTTTCGAGCGGAGAAAAGAACTACACCAAGCTGAAGTTGAACTCTTCAGAAGAAGCAAGTTGTTGCGCAACAGCAATCCATATGGGAATGCAAATCGATTTAAAGGCAGCTGACCCTTTTGAAATGACGTACAGGACCATGAGGGTGACGTATCTCTGCCTTCGAATCAGGGGTATTTGGCGGGATAAATATTTGTTTCCATGAGCATGCAATGGGCGGAAGTGGTTTTTTTTTTTTTTTTTTTTTTTTTTTTTTTTTTTTTTTTTTTTTTTTTTTTTTTTTTTTTTTTTTTTTTAGGCGCAGTTGGCACGCTTAGCCCACGCGCGTTTACCAGGGAAGGGCCCCTCTCCTGTTCGGAGAAGCATAATGTACGGCCCCTGAACGAGCTGGCCTATACAGTGACTTGTGGGGGCCAGTCAGAGTACAAATCGTGTTCTTATCCTACCATGCAGCATTATGCCGATTCTCGAAAACGAGAGGAACGCAAGGCTTGGTTGGCCTGGACGGCGGCAACACAAGCTTTCCCTACACCATGCGCACACCACACTACTTCGACAAATGTTTCTCACCGTATTGTATTGCATATAATATGGTTTTTGGGTGGTAGGGTAGTTGGAGGGGCCACTGCGTATGTTCGTATGCGCCTGCAAGCCTGAATCTGCGATGCACTGTAATTCGAAACTGCCGCGTGATGGCGAAATAGTAACATCCCATGTGACTGGCTTTAGAAGAGCAGACGAACAGAGCGCCGCGCCTCGGCGTGGCCCCCTCAAACTACAGTGGCAACGGTGTTTCTCTCCATGGGCTGTATCCTATATTCCTTCAGGGGGACGCTGAGGGGTTCGCTGTCTAAAGTCTAGGAACCCGGAACATGGCTGGTCCTATGACGCAACTCTGTCTCCATAGCCTTAGGATAGGATCAGCGGCGGGGTACGCGTCCCCCTGGGAAAAGGATATGGCCCCATTTTGCTCTGTGCCCAATTTTACCCAGATAAATACTGAAATAAAATATCGTACCTGCTCGGCGTCTTCCTGATGCACATTTGCCACTCAGATTGGTGTCCTGAAACCAAGGCAGTAGTACCAAGCTAGAAATTCAACCAATATCATAAGAAAATCGCGCAGCAAATCAAACTGATTGAAGGAGACTTTTGTTGGGAAGTGAACGTTGGCAGTGTCGCGTGATTTCGGAGATGGGCAGGATCAGCTGACATCCCATGCAAAACATACCGAAAACAGCAATTTCCACACAGGACCCCACTTAGGGGGATGTTACAAAACCGTCACGGAACGACGGTCTGGCCCGTAATGGCTTCGGTTACGAAAGTATGGCGTCGTGTAGATCGGTTCCTGCTGCGAGTGAGAAGGTGCGATAACGGCTCTTGGAGTGCGCCACGCACACCCTCCTATTCCAACAGCAATGCCAAATAGATAGCTTCCTTCTTGTTACCATGCCTGTCTCATATCATTCGATTGCGAAATTGCAACTGCCCGCTTCTTCTTTGCGGCATAACATGCCCCTTCAGCTTCTACCATCGTGATCTACTGCGAAACTTTCAAGCAGGACCCCCTACAACACCATCGCAATTCCTCAAAAATCGGACATACGATCCCCCCGTCCGAAATTCTCAAGCTACGATCCTCTCGTTAAATTTGGCACAAAGCAGGATTTACTCTTGGCATACCGGAGGCAACCAAAACTAATTTTCATGTAGCGACTCCATAGTTGCGATTGCGAGTTGTTACTGAAGCGAGCTTACCTGGTGGAATAACAATCGCCGATGGCTCTGCGCCAAAAACGAGTCTCATATTCGTAATCAGGGCACCCATTTACCCTTATAGAACAAGTTCCAGGCAAAAGCAACCGTGTTTCCACATAGGTTGCACCTCATCATTAGCGTTCTTTTGCAACTTTTAAGGCTCACAACTTTCTTACAAAGTTCACGTAGCAGTTTTAGTGTCCATATTTAATCAGCGTCCAAGACTCTATCGATGCACCTAGGTCTCCTTTCAAAGTTCCATGGGAAGTTCAAAACATTCCACCATTTGAAGCGAAGCTAGATAAGCTGACTCGTCGAGTTCGTTCGTGGCCGTATGTGTGACTTGCATCAAGCGTCAACATGGAGAACAATACTGTTCCATTCACCCGGCTACTGACTTTGCTGTTTCCTGATGCTGTTTCCGGTGCATCACGTCGGTGTGCTGAGCAGGCATTCGTGCTGTATTAAATTTCTGTAACCTCAGAAAGCTTTGATGCATTATTACTGTGGATGACCAGAAAACCACCAGCGTGGTCCTCAACTTATGGAAAAAGTTATGAAGCTAGATGTCTAGGAAGTTCTTTTGTTGTTGGAAAGGTTTGACGAATGAACAGCGTTCTAGATTTGTAGTTTGTCATGTGAAGCGAGCCTCCATGAAATCTCTGGACGGCGATTTGCTGCAACTCACTCAGCTCGTGGTGTGTCCATTTGTCCAACTTTTCTAGTCCCAAGACCTTTAAGTGCTCCGGTGTTTTTTGTCATTCTTGCTCCAGGTTATGTTCGTCTTTGCAGAAGCACACTTAAAGGAGGAATTTACGATTAAGAATGAAGGTCGAAGAAAGGGAGACTGACCTAGTTGAGGAACCCACGGACCTCCTGAGGTGCGAACTGACGCGCAATTCGCATGGAAAAATTTGACCTCGGCGACCTATCATGCCTCAAAGTTGGGTCCGGCGATCTCCGCCCACCGATCATCTGATCACTCGCCGTAGTTCAATACGTGGCGAGTGATTAGATAGCTGAGAGAGCGTAGTGTTGAAGAGGGCACAGCGATGAGAGTCGCATCAATGCTCGAATCAACGGGCAAGGAAGGGTACCATTTCTCGGGTTCTGGGCCGTTTCTCATGGTTCTTCCTTCTTTTTTCGTGTACCACTCACCATCCTAGTAGTTTAACATGTTTGAATTTCATCGTTATTGTCATTTATATCGAGGGGGAATCTTGCCTCCAGTGGGCTATGAGAGGGATCATAATTGAGAAGATGACGCTTCCATAACCGCCTTATTTGGATTGCAGTCCCTGACTGCAATTATGGAACCAACACTGCAGTTTGCGACCTTAGCTGCATATTGCAATACTATTCCCAGCTTTCTGCAAAGCTTTTCCTCCATTTTCAATTCAATGAAGTGAATTCGCTCAAACTACTTTCCTGACGTCTTCAATCAAAGATTAAACAAAACTTAAAAGCTGGGCTTACTTTAAAATACATTTACACCGTGAGAAATAAATATAACGTAATAAGCGTGAGAAAAAGTATTAAAATGGTTTATGCATCATACGCCATCAACATCGGCATTTGAACGAAAAATTCAGGTAAAAGACATTAATCAGTGAGCATCGAAACCGATAACTTCTGGACAACCTACACTAGCTTAACTATGATTATGACATGATGATATGATGAAATTATGATATAACTAATTATATGAGGTTTCTGATACCGTTCTTCTTTCAGGGAGTCACTACCTAACCATGGAGCCTGAGCCATCAAGCTATCATTTCGCCTCACTCTATTCACCAATGTTCAACATGCAGTCAAGTGCATCACTCTGTCTACAATTCAACTACTACCTGAAGACGTCAAGCGACGGTAAATCTTGTCGTACTTATTTAGTCCAGGTATTGGTAAGCGCAAAAAACAAGGGAATCCTACCCAAGAAGCGAGCAGTTGCCGACTTGCCGTTGCAGAAGTGCAACGCAAGGACGGCAAATCTTGTAATCACTGGTGCTACCCGTTTCCCCAACGTAAATGTTATTTACAAAATCTGCATCGTTGGGCGACAAAAAACATCTGACCAGAAGAAAACCTGAGGGAAATCCTTCTCTACTACTCTTTGCATATGTATAATAAAATCATAGGGATACCTCAGAGACTGACGGCGCACAGCACTACCTTTGAGTAACCTCTTTTTCAGAAAACCACAAGCGCGAAGTGCAGACCACACATCACAAGTGACGACGGCCTCCACTAAATAGTAAATATTCAACCAATGAAATGATTAGCCCTTGCAAATTGTCACTAATTACAACTATCATTTACCAAAATCAGCTATCACTATGAACCACTACTAACCAGATTTACTTGGAGGCCGTCGTCACTTGTGGTGTGTGGTCTGCACCCGATGCGCTTCTGGTTTTTTGAAAAAGAGGGTATGTCGTTGGTCAATAAATGAAAAAAGCGAGCGGTTGCGCAGCGTCGCCCAGGATTGCTCTACGATACAAAAACGAATGTGAACGAATTTGCGATTTTTCAACGAGAGCAAGCAGAAATCGGCAATAATATTGTTTTTTAGTATGGAGGGCTACCGACTCAAAACAGTACTACTAACGGAATCGAGGCGACAATAACCGCAGTCTCATTTTTGGCCATTTTTGGGCCGCTTCTTCCGAAAACGACTAGAAATTTTTCAAATGTGGACGCCCTGTTCTATGGGAAAATTACAGCCATCACGATGAACTGTCAGCCTTACGCTATGACAGGTCAATCCGTCGAGCATGATATCGTCTAATGGTCAGGTGTGTTGTGGAAGTTAAATGAAGGTTTACTGTGAAAGCTGATAGCACAGAAAAAGTGATAGGAAATTTTGGTCATTAACGGGATTTCACAATGTGAGGGAGGAAATGGTGCGATCGCGAATGGCTCCTTGCCACGCGTACGGGGATGTAAAATTTCCCAACAAAGCTCTCTGTTTCTACGAGATGCGAGACCTGTTTGAGGAATTCAAAAAAAACAACCATTTCACGAGCTATCCCAAGCCTTTGTACAGGATAGATTGCATTCAAATGCCATTATGACTTTTGAATAGATATGAAACGTGTAGCGCTTCCCAAAGGGGATGTTATCACAAATATTACTTCACTCCTTTTTCTCCTGGATGTTTACAGCGGCTCCAACCGCTTTTGACTGGGAGGCAGCAGAAGGGGTGCTTCAATAATAAGGTATCAATAAGCCCAATCTATCAGCCTCTTTCACTGACCCCAAGTGGTGTGCTTCGCTGTCCGCAAAACTTTAGCTGCTCTCCTGATCTTCGCTGTATCTGAAGCTGAAACACTTAACCCTTTTTCGGCGTTCACTTATTATGGAGTAATGTCGTATTATTATAATCATTGGAGAGGGTTCTTTTTCTTGGCGTCTTCTTCTTCTTCTTCTTAGCGTTAGTCGAGCGCCGTCCCAGATCCGCTGTCTTTATCAGTCGTCGCCACTTTTCTGTCCAGGGCATCTTATGCTGCGACCATGCCTTCACTTAGGTCCCTCTTGATCACGTTCTCTCCACCTCTTCTTTGAGGCTCCTCGCGGTCGCTTGCCTTGCGCTTTCAAGTCCATCGCTACCAGTATGGGTCGTCTTGTGTGTCGTTCTTAGCACTTGTCCATGTCATTCGACGTTTGTTGCCGCATTTCAACTTGCACAGAAACAGATCAGCAGTGACCATGCTTCCGAAATCCTCGCTTTTGACCCAGCGCAGTCGCATCCAGCCTCAGGCCCTTCTCAGCGTTGCATCGCTTCATCAGCGGAGTGAATCTCCTTTCGTAGGTCTTGTTGAAGTGCCGCGCCGTCGTTTAGCATTGCAGGCCTTACCACTGTACGGATCGCCTTTCCTTCGAGCACTCTGGAGCATCTTCGACAGTAGAGAATTCCAGAGGATTCTTTTCATTTCATCCACAGCGCGTTGATCCTTGCCATTACTGCCTGGTCCACACTACTGTCGACGGCTAGGTCGCCATCCCTTCTTCCATTCATGACCCTCGTCTTCTTCATTTACTAATGATGGTAGGTGGTATGAAAAATATGTACATATATATGTGTAATTTTGAAACTATTTATGAAAAACGCCGATTCGTAAGAAACAGAGGACGCGCAACGGGCGGTGCGTAAGGGGAAGACGTCGATGTCAAAGAAAGGAAAAATTTTTTTTCGAGTGGCAAGTTTTTTTTTTATCTAAACGTTGAGCAAATAAAATGCCTACTCAACGCACCGTACTTGATAAATCATTGCTACGATAGTTCAAGAGGCTATATATAGTGTCATTACTCTTGAACAGATGTGAATTACCCTCGCATCCGCCCATCCTGTTTTTTTTTTTCGCGTTCTGAAAGTTGAATTTGGCTGAAGGCATTCCATGTTAGGTCGTGCTGGAGCCATGTCCCTTAACTATTACGTCTCCCTATTATTCTGCTGTTCCACATGGTATGCACATGTGTGAACCGGTAACTTAGCACCTGTCTCAATAATAATAGCTTTGCCGGTGAAAGGATTTTATTGCCCGTGAAGCGGCGCCTTTAGTAGCGCAATTGACCCATACCTAAACGATTACGTTTCTTTTCTCCGGCAACAATCGAAGATCACACCCTGTTATGACAAAACGTCGACTGAGGTTGCTGGAGTGAGGTTTGAGCATATCTGTGCTCTCGTTCTTACTTTTCCGAGATGTCGTCCTTTTTCGGACAGTGGATAGAAAGCGATGCAAGACGAGTGCGCTGCTCACTAGCAGAACGAAAGTCATGGTAGGTTTTTACAAAGACTGAGAGCCCGGACAGAGCGATCCTACTCGGGTCTTATGAATAAGCGTTTCGAAAGGAAGAAAAACAGAGCAGAAATGTTGTAATAGTGTGCATTCGCCGGAGTACCCAGATAACACCACAAAACGCTTAATTACCATGCCTCCCGGTTGACAACCGCTCTAGGACGGTGGTTGAGTGGGTTGGAGTTCTCCAAGATTGCTGCACACAGAACTGACAAGTGGAAAAATCAAAAAAGGCTTGGCTCTTATTGATTCTTTTTTGGCATGCATCATGAATATCCCATTTCCATTTGAATTTTAAGAGGCAACATATCATACCGCTTGCTCACATACAAGAGTAACAGGCCCCACTGGCTAGAATTGAAGTTCAAGGCTTCCCAGGCAGGTTTGACCCTATAGTCCACCTCAAGTGATGGAAGAGTTTGTTGTGCTCTGCGATGTCTGATCAACTGTAATACACTGCGTTTCATAATTATAGGTCCACCCTAAATTTTTGCTACCCCAAAGTTGCTGTGCATTTTTTGGAAATGCTGCTATCACCGTTAGATTCCTCATCACGGAAAACCTTCATAGTGTTTTTCTGACAAAGTTCCCCCCTCAAGTAACCCAATTAACTTTTTAGAACGAATTTTCACCGTTTCATGAATATCGGGCCACTCATAAAAAGTTTCCATTTCTCACGATCCGTGAAGGGAATCAGGGAAGCGGGGAAATATGTGGAGCTCAGTCGACATCGAGTTTACCATACCTCGTGTTATTCGCCTCTCTTCCCAACAAAGCTCAAGCTAGAGCACTTACTGAAGTGGGATAGCTGAGGAGCAGAATTTCCTCCCATGTCGGCCGGCTCATACTGCATAAGCGACTATGTGCAAAATCCTGGTCAGTGCGGAGAGAAGAGTCGCTTAGGTAAATAAAGACTGCGTTTCCTTCAAAATTTAGGAGGAATTGGGTGTCTTCTCTCGAATTATACAAGGAGTCCGAACAAAGTCCGTACTGAAATGCGGCCTTCCGTGAGCAAAACCACCGTGTGGTGAGTAAGCCAGCAGAGCAATAACATCTTCAACGGATTGATGAGAGCGTTCCAAGGTTATTTGAGCGCTACAAGATCGCAAGTCTCTATTTCTTCGTGGAAAAGGGCTCAACTTAATGAGCGATGTGGGCTGTTAAGACCGTCTTCGCACGTTGGACTCTGCCTCCTTGTTTCGTTCTACAGGTGGTCTGAGATCGACGTGGAAAAGTTTATTCTAGGTGGATATGGCAGAAAAAGAGGGTACAGGATGATCGCGTGAAAATCGCAGATGGTTTCAATGTAACGTAATTTCGGCGGTGAATCCCTTATGGTTTGAGGCACCTTTGAACGACTGAGTAGCTAGAGCTCGCTTTTGTTTCCGTTCACAAAGATTCCACAGGGTATCGTGAAGTTCTTTCGAAGCGAGTCTTACCATTTTTTCAACAAGGATCCCCTCTATCCTTGATTTTCACACACGATAACGCGGCTGTCCATGCCGGTCCCTCCGCGCCAGATGGAATTGCAGGAAAAAATGTGGCAGTTATCTGGTGGCCACCATGTTATCTGAATTAGATTCCAATAGAGAATCATTGGGCCTTAATTGTTATAAAGTTCCACAGCAAAGTAAAGCAAAATGGAACAGCCGAAAAGCTGAAAAGGTCGATCATCGGCGCCCAGACGAATTTCGATCCTACTGTAATAGCTAATTTGGCTACCAGCATTTCAAAACGTATTATTGTGTTCCTTATGATTATTGGGGGGTCATCCCATTATTGAAAATTCGTGACGTTTTTTCGTTATAGTAAAATCTCTCGACAAGTGATGTGTAGTCATATTTGCGAAACGGTGAAAATACGTTCTAAGGAAGATATTTTAATAATTCTGAATCGAGATTTCTCCAGAAATCAAGTATCAAGGTTTTTCGTTATGGGGAAACTATTGGTAATAGCGGCATTTTCCAAAAATGCACAGCAACTTTGGAATAGCAAAAAATTTAGGGTGGACCTATATTTATGAAACGCAGTGTATAAGTGTAAGACAGGACGCGTTTTCTTCGCACCGCCGTCACTGCTTCGTAAGTTGTTAACCATTCATCATCAAATTCACTCGTGCGGGGCTCGTTAGTACTACAATTAGAGATCATAAAAA